GTGTGTGTGTGTGTATGTTTAGAGACAGAAAGATGTGATGTGTAAGTGATAGTTAATAGTGAAGCAAAGGTCTGCGGTCACATGATGGTGATAATATTTAGTACATCATACTGTTTTAATCTGAAATAAGGACAATTAAATAAAATATTGCAGTTTTTAAATTTAGTTTAGGAAAAATGAACTTTGCGATGGAACAAATCAGAGTGAAAAACATTATTTTTTTAAAGATTGAGCTATTAAATGTATTAGAAAGTTGTCTTGCAATAAGTTACTTAGTTTTTTATGTCAGTATTTTGATGTAAGCAGCTGCAGTATTTAGGCCTGGATTGGAAGACTTGTTTGGGTACAAATTATGAAGCCATATATTTAACATCAAGACATCATATTGACTGTATTTGGGTGCTCAGTGTCTAGTGACTTACTCCAGTAACATGTTATCTGCACCAGTATTAGTGTCTGATGCAGTGCTTAATACTGTCACAGTACAATCCTGTGATTCTAAACTGAGATATACATAAACTTTTGGCTTCCTAATGCTTTCCTGTATTACTTACATAGATTTCAGTTTATTTCTCATTACCAAGAACCTAATGTTAACTCACTCTTGATTCAGTAAATCGGTGCTTATGAAGTGCCTTTATAACATATTTTTCAATTGTGTGATACCAACCATTTACCCTCGACGTGCACTTAATTCTTAAGTCATTTCAATAATTTATCAGAACATCACTTAAATCCACCCTTACACCACACGTCTTGTTCTTTTACATATTATCTTTAGAAACAAACATGACACAAACTAGAACAGTATACTTAATATAAAAAAAAATGACTGTAATCATACAAAGCCTTTTTTCTTTTGGTCACATTTTGAATTAACCGTGGTATACAAGTAATGCTCGTGTACAGCTGTACCGCCTCATGGGCACTGTATAAGAGATTTATATTCAATAAAACCAGTTTTCTGTGAAAGTGTTTAAATGCATTTTTTAACAGTTTGACATTCACTCTTCTTACCCTGTTCACAAGTTACACCCATGTATACTGTGTCATTCTTTCACTATTGTCCATTTTGGTCTCAAACCTTTTTGAAAATTGAACATGTATTTTATGGAAATATATTGCTGTGTTTTATTTCTCCATCCTGTGTAAAAACACTTCCTGATAGTGGCTGTGATGAAATTATTTTTAAAAATATATGATTTTTGTCATTTTATTCTAACATCATCATTCTATCACACCACGAAAAGGTGTTTTTTAAACAAAATTATTTACCTACCTTATGAAAAAAAAGAATTGCACAAAGATATGCCAAAATGTATACATGTATTTATATTCAGGATTATGATATTAAAGTTTTAGTTAATATCTCTTGAACACAGTATTCAGTTACCACCGATTTCGGGTTTTATCTTTAGACCTGAATCACAAACACTTCTTGCTGGGACTCTTTNNAGAAAACAATGTGGGCTTCATAGAAAATTGACGGACTTTCTGGGCGAAACCTGGTCTGATTAGAGACAGCATCCATCCTACTTTGGAGGGAGCGGCTCTCTCATCTGGAAATATGAGTTTATTTTTGATACTAAAACCTGACGATCCAAAGTTGGTACCAGGAAGCAGAGCTGCTGTCTTACACGCTTCTCTGCACTTCCATTAGAGCAGTTACCTACCCAAAACCCCATAGAGACTGTCCCCAGACCACCTAAACTTTTAAAGAAGTAAAAACAAGAGGAGTTAAACATAAAAAATTAAAATTAAAACTAACTACAGTAGCACAAAATAAATTAATAAATGTAGACTATTAAACATCAGGTCTCTGTCTTCTAAAGCTGTTCTAGTTAATGAATTAATATCAGATTATGATATTGATTTACTCTGTCTTACAGGGGGGAAGGGGAGGGGGGGGGGGGGGGGGGGGGGGGGGGGGGGGTGAGAACTGGCTTGTGCCATGAAGAGTATGTTGTCTAAATAAATCACCCCACCAGTCATATTAATACCACATTCTCGAAGCACTGTAAGTCAGTGGAGTATAGCATATATATTCAACCTAAATAACTACAATTTCATTTTCAGCCTTGTTTTTAGTCTTTCTCCACTTGAACCTGAAACTGCAGCCAGTTTCTGTTTGTTATGGTGTCTGAATATAACAGAGTCCATATTTAAACTTTAGTCCCTCCCAAATTGATCATCTTTTGTCATAGTGCTGCAGGCTCACTGTGAACAACACTAGATTCTATTGCCCCTATGAAAAAGAAAATATTAAAACATAGGAGGCTAGCACAGTGGTACAACCACCAAACCCACCAATTAAAACAAAAAAGCGCGGAAATCTGAAAGGAAATGGCACTCTTCCAAACTGGTAGAATCAAGTTCAATATGACAAGAAAGTCTTAAAATATATATAAAGTTATACCAGAGCAGCCTATTATTCAACATTAATTATTATTATATTATTATATTAAGAAATAATTAAGAAAATAAGAACCACCCCAGGTTCCTCTTCAGCACTGTAGCCAGGAAACCACTCTATTGAATCATTTATCCCTATAACCCTCAGTAGCAATGACTTTATGAGCTTCTTTAATGATAAAATTATTACTATTAGAGACAAAATTAATCACCAACTGCCCTCAACAGGTATTGTCTGTTGTCTCTCCAAATACAGGAATCTTAACAGCTGCAAACCCAGATATGTAGACTGCTTTTCTACAATTAATCTTCATTAGTTAACTTTAATTAGTGACCAATTCTATTTCAGCTTAATATATGACCCTTCCCTTAGGCAACATTATTAGGAATCACTCCATTAACTTACTACTCTTATGCAGATGATACCCAGTTATATCTATCAATCAAGCCAAAAACTGGATGACCTGCAATTTTATTGATGTAAAACTCAGACAAAACATAAGTTTTTGTACCCCAAACACCTCCGAAACTCATTATCTAAAGATATAGTTACTCTAGATGGTATTACCTTGGCCTCTAGCACCACAGTCAGGAATCTTGGAGTTATATTTTATCAGGAAATGTCCTTCAATTCCCACTAAAAGCAAACCTCTGCTTATTATCAGGCTGTCCATAATAAATCCATTAAGACACTACAATTGATTCAGAATGCTGCAGCACGAGTACTGACAGGAACTAGGAAAAGAGATCATATTTCTCCTGTATTAGCTTCTCTGCACTGGATATAATTTAAAATCCTCCTCCTCACCTACAAAGCTCTTCATGGTCAGGCTGCTTCATATCTTAAATAGCTCATAGTACCTCTAGTAGTGCTCATAGTGCTCTTTGAATGAAGGGCTACTTGTGGTTCCTATAGTCTCCAAAAGTAAAACAGGAGCCAGAGCCTTCA